CGAAGAGGCTGAAGGCCTCCTTGAACTCGGCGATCTGCTCGTCGGTGAGCTGGTCCGCCATGGGGGAGGCTTCGAGAAGGTGCGCACGGGAGACACGGGGGCGGCTGCGCGAAGGGGAATAATAAACGGGGCGCGGTGGGTGGCGTTGGCGATGGTGCCCTGTCCGTGGGCTGGGTTTTATAGACCGCTAGCGATTAACGAGGGGGGAAGGTTTGCTCGAACCGCCGGTTTTGTATCCGGTTCCACTTTCCTTTTCCCTTTCTCTTTTTCCTTCCTTGGATCCTTGGCAATCTAGGGTTCCATTCATACTCGATTGTGCAGCAATGGTTTCCATGTGTTATTCTTGTGTGGATTTAGGATTCTATACTTTAGACTCTATTGAGTTTTGAGGTGTCTTTTGCTAGCGGCACATCGATGCGGATTAATAAAGACTTAGTCATGAGAGATAAGAGCAGCGGCCGCTACGGTGAACAATTGATATACTCCCTCTGTTTCTTTATATGAGTTGTATTTATTTTTGATAAAATTTCAGAATGTAAGATGCATTTTTCCTAATTCCTCGTGATTCCTCTGTTAGCACTCCGTAAAAAAGAAAAGTATCTCTCTCCTGATTGTATGTATCTCTCCTTATAGCAAAATAAGGAAATTATCTCTCTATCGATTGCACGTATCTCTTACTTTTCTGGAGTAACTGATTTACTTGCTTCCAACCAAAAAATTTGTCAAGGGTAATTTCATCATAACATGTCTATAATTATGTGCAGTGGTCACCGTGCCAAAAAAAATACACCTTACATAAAGGAACGGAGGGCGTACCCCTTCGCTCCTGCCCTCTTTCGGACTCTATTTTAAGGTTTTTTGCCTCTCATCGGCGCCACCGGCGGTTCGCCTCGTCGATCTCCTATGGCCCTTGGACCATGGAGGCGCGGTGGATCCCGGCCCTTGCAGACGGGATGGCTACGTTTGTATGTGCTTTTCAAAGTTTGTTAGGGTTTTGTGTCATGCTCAAGAAGACGAGACGGCGACGGCTTCTTGAAGATGGAATGAGATTCTTCCCACCTAGCCTCGCCCTAGTGATGCTTCAAACGTCGTCGGAAAACATGTGGAGGGGTGTCTCCGACAGATCTCGTGGGCCCCGGTCGGTGTTTGTCTTCGGGAGATCAGCCTGGATCCGTTCTTTCTCTATATCGGTGTATCTGCAGGTTGGATCCTTTCGATCTATTATGGTGTGCTGATCCTATGAGGTCTTAGCACGACGACTTTTCGACTGTCTACTACAACAATGTTTGTCCGACTCCAACGAGAAAGGGGCGATGACGGCGGTGTGTCTTCAGCTCGCTCAGTGCTTGTAGTCCTCGCTAGGTGGTCTACGGACCTAGATGTATGAGGATGGGTTTGAAATTGTGTGGCTCGTTAGATACGAGTCTGCTCCCGCCTAGTCTAGGATCAGTTTCCCTTTTCATTCTACAGATTTTGCCGGTCCCTTTTCTTCCTTTTTCTCTTGCGGGGAGACTGACATAAAAAATCAACTCATTGCGGTCCGTTGGTTTTTTCCTCCCCAAAGTCACAACAAAGTCGCCGTACTAAATGGGACGATGTGCTTGGGTATTTATTAATCTCAGAAACCTTGCGAGGAGGGAAGAGGCGGACGAGTCAAGGCGATGGAGGTAGCAAGCCGGACCAGGTCACCGCGCCGTCACCGTCGGATCAGACATCAGTCCATCGCGCACAGGAGCCGGTCCAAGGCCAAGTTCAGGTCAAGACTAACCTCAAACACGTCCTCGTGTTAGAAGGGAGAGAGAGGGATTGTTGCGGAATATGATGGTTGTATTATTAAGCCTCGAGGGCGAGTATATATTGAGTACAAGACTTGGAGGGCAAGACGCCTCTCCTAGAGATAAGGTAGGAATCCTAAACTACATGTAACCCAAATATATCTCTAACATCCCCCCGCAGTCGTAGCGGTAGCGTTGCGAACAACAGGAGCGTCGCGGACGGTCAGACTGGAGAGAGTAGCAGCCGATGGGCTGACATCCCCCCGTAGTCCTAGCGG